TGGGTCTGTGACTGTGTGCTATTCGTCACCAAAGTCTGCCGCTCCGTCTCACCTCATTCGTCCCGAGCCGGGCCAGCCCATCCTCGAGGTTGTAGCTGGAGCTAGAAAAGTCTAGCCTTTTCGCGCAATTCGTGTTGGACGCCCCGACGACAGAGTACAGGGCTCCGCCAGCCCATTGGTCTGGCCCTTGTCTACAAAAGGCTCAAAGCATGCGAATTGAAGAGAGGCAAAATGACTCGTCCGCCCCCCTGTAACCGGTCGTCATTCCATGTCGGATCATAGTCCGGCCAGGAGACGGTAAATCAGGCAAAGCATTTGCCACAGGGAATGGTGTGTCCTGTACGTGCCAAAGAGGGGCGAAACGCCGCATGTCATCATGGTGACATCCATACGTGTCGGAGTGCCGTTTTGGTAAGTTAAACCCGCCTACCGAGGCTCTGAAAGTGGAGCCGAGTCGATCGGCGATTTCGGTCGAAGTCACGACGTTTCGCCTCTTCGACAGATCCCTTTGTCGTCAACCTGATTGGTCGTCAGGCCAGCACTAAGGAAGAGGGCTGACTGCATGACTGAACACATTAAGCTGCCACGACGTCACAAGAGGCAGTCGTCCACCCGTTACGGCTCTCTTTTGGTTCGTAGATCGTGACTCCTCCAGAAGGGCACGATAAAACGAGTAGAGAGCAGAGGAGAGGTAGAAGGAAGAGAGAAAGAGAGAAAGTGAGGGGAGAAAGGGGAGAGGAGAAAGGAGGTAAGAAGATAGAAGAGAGGGTGTAAGAGAGAGGTAAGAATAGAGATAAGAGAAGATAGGAGATAGGAGAAAGGGGGAAGGAAGAGAGGAGAGAGGTGAGAAGATGGAAGAGAGAAGAGAGAGGATTGAGGGATGAGAGGGTAAATGAGAGAGTATTTAGAAAGAGGATAAAGGAGGCGGCATACGTTAATGGAAGAAGATAGGAGAGAAGAGTGATAAGATAAATTATAAAAGAAATGAGAGTCGAGGGACGAGGAATTGGAGAGAGAGAGGGGGGGAGGTGAGGAGAATAGATTAAAGAGTTAGCGGACAGAATAATTTATAGTGACATGGCATTTTATTTCGAGGGAAAAGTTAGTTGGAATTAATTAGTGAATAGGTCTCGCCTGAAAGAATTGCTTTGATGTAATAAATGTTGGTTTGTGCGAACAAGTCTTCGGCTCCCCGTCCTGTTAGTCCGATGAACCTGTGCTGAGCTTCCTCCTATCATGTGGCAGACATCATCGTACATTCGTGCTCATCGTTCTGACGCAGTGATACAGACGTAAGCACATCAAAGATACATCGAAATGGATAAACGGTGAGTCGAAGACTTGTTCACACAACCCAAAAGTCTTCACTCCTTCGGTTTCCGATGGTACATACTCACGAATCCCCTCCAACCAACATTTCCTTCAAAATGAAAAGCCATGTCACATTAGGTCTTGGCTCAATTCTACCTGTTTAACCAAACTTGTGTGCTTCAAACGCCCCATTGTCATATAGCTCACCTCTTAAATCAGTTAGCTTCTTGCTTGGTGATAGTTGACTCGAACATCAAATAGTCAACCAAGCAGTGTCAAATTTAAAAAAAACGGCTAATTTACCAAGAGACTTCCCGCACTAGGTGTGCAGTTTCGAAGGAGATTTTGGGATAAAGAGATATAAAATTTAGCCACACCAAATAGCTGAATGAACAGTTAGGACAGTTGGCTCATAAAAACAGGTCTTTTGACGCACCGTCCTGCCAATCCGATGAATTTGTGCTGACCCTTATGTTCCAAACCGAAAATCAGAGACAATTCCTAAACACGGGGGCAGGAATGACGTAACTTTGCAATTTAACCTGCATTT